TCGACCAGCACTAAGTCGGCCAGCGCAGTTGTCGGCCGACCACCCACGTCGGCCACCCGAAGTCGGCGTCACGAAGTTGACGCCCCGCTACTCGACGCCCAACTGCTCGGCGTCCTGAGTCGAGGTCGACGTTGGCCCCTCCTTTGCCGACCACCAGGTCCAGTCGACCACCCGCAGGTCGACCAGCAGTCCATTGTTGAGATAGAGGCGAGGAATGAGTGCACTATGAAATGAAACAAGTACAAGTACCAACCCTAATTGGGTTGTACCCCCTATGGGCTACCCCACTACAGCCTAAATATATGCATCAGTAATATAATCATCTGACACACCCCCATAGGCAAAGTGGGGGAGAGCAAGGGGTCACAAGACCAGTCAAGCAAAGCAAAGCAAAGCAAAGCAAGCTCAGGGTGGATCTCAAGGATACCACACAAATTCCGAGCACAAGGTCAAGGCCACAAGGCCAGTTCACATGCAGCAGAGCATATATATATAACAGTGTTAAACAAGCAAGAGCAAGGATATATATATGCAGCAGTACAAGCAAGGTCAAGAGGTAAGCAAGTGAGGCCCAGTGGGCACAAGGCCTAGCAGAGTGCAAAAGCGCTGATGGTCACGAGGCGGAAGTGCCTTGGTGAACACATCAGCAGTGTTGGCCTCAGTGGCCACGAAACGTAGGCGAAGCTGACCACGCTGCTGCAGCTCTCGAGCAAGGAAGTAGCGCAGAGCAATGTGCTTCGTCCTGTGCTCCAGTCTGTGCTCCTCACACAAGGCAATGGTTGCCTTGTTGTCGACGTACAGCACTGGAGGAGAACGAGGCCGCTCTCCAAGGTCAGCCAGCAGGTAGGTGAGCCAGCGAAGCTCCTGGGCAGCCATGGCCGTGGCGTAGATCTCAGCCTCACAGCTGGAGCTGAGAACCGAAGAAGAGCGAGTAGAGCGCCAAGAGACAGAGCCAGAGCCAAGACTGAAGGTGTAACCCTGAGACGACCTCTGAGTAGCCTGGTCGTCAGCCCAAGAAGCGTCTGAGTTCCCAGTGAGCACAGGCCGCTCACGCCCTCCAAGCACTAGCCCCATGCCCGACGTACTGCACAAGTAGCGCAACACCCTCTTAGCTGCATCCATGTGCTCCTTCCGGTGACGGCCGGGAGCAACATAGCGTGCTAAGATGCTGAGAGGGTATGCGAGGTCAGGTCGAGTGCAAGTCATCAGGTACATGAGGCAGCCCACAAGCTCTGGATACGGACCACTCGACTCTACGAACTCATCCGAAGGCAGAGCTGAGAGCGAGTGTCCCGTAGGCAGAGGAGTGGACTGAGGCGAGGAGTACGTGAAGCCGAAGCGCTGAAGGACCTGCTGCACCATGTGTGACTGAGTCAGGGTAATGGTGCGGCGTGCTCTGTCCCGGGTGATCCGCAAGCCAAGATAGCTTGTCAGTTCACCCAGGTCTGTGCACGTGTGTCTCTTCTGCAGCTCGGACTTCACGTGGGCGAGTGCGGAAGTGTCCGCAGTGGCAAAGACCAAGTCGTCGACGTACACGAGGATGTAGAACGGCGGCAGCGAGGTGTCGGTGCGCAGAAACAGCGACGGGTCAGCAGTAGAAGGAGCAAACCCAAGAGCCGCAAGTGTAGTCCTCAGTGTGTCGTGCCACTCACGCGGCGCCTGGCGGAGACCGTAGACTGGCCGCCGGAGGCTCCACTGGGTACCAGGAAGGAACGACCCAGTGAAGCCAGGAGGGCGGCGCAGCCAGATCTCCTCGTGCAGGCGGCCCTGCAGGAAAGCAGTGCTGAAGTCAAGAGAGTGTAGCTCGTAGTCACGCTGAGCAGCGACGTGCAGTAGAACCCGAAGAGTGGTCATCTTCGGGGTCGTGGCGAAGGTCTGAAAGAAGTCAACTCCCTGTCGCTGACTGAAGCCACGAGCCACGTAGCGCGCCTTGAAGACAGGCGGAGAACCCGGCAGCCGCTTCACCCTGAAGATCCACATGCCACTGACAATGTTCGCCCCAGGAGGGGGAACAGCGTCAACGTAGGTGCCTGTGGACTTCCAGGAAGCCATCTCTGCGTCCATGGCTGACTGCCACTGAGAGGAGTAGGGACCGGCCATCGCCTCTGCGTAAGAGCGTGGGGTCGGGATGTCTAGAGCATCCGGGTCTCCCTCAGGGGCAACAAGCATGGACACGAGATGGGGCAAAGCGGCGGCAAAGCACTGGAACTCCTCCTGCCTGTCCTCAAGGACGTCCGTGCTAAGAGCACAGTCACCCCCGACGGACGGAGGACAGGCAGACGCAGACGCAGCAGACGCAGACTCAGCAGACTCAGCAGACTCAGCAACAAGACTGGCAGCGTAATCCAGACGACACGCAGCAGCAAAGTCGACCAGCTCAGCAACTAGGGCAGACGCAGCAGCGGACTCAAAGGAAGGGTCAGTGACAAGAGTAGCAAGAAGACGCGTGACAGTAGGACTGGCAGCACGGTGAGAGTCCGACTCCGGGTCGGCAAGAGTAGGAAGAGAAGACTGAGGAGGAGAAGGCAAAGGGGCACGCAGAGGAGCAGTGGACGGACGCAGAGACATCTGGTGCGTGCCAGGGACAGGAGGAGGACGCTGACGCGAACCGCGACCACTAGGGCGAGCAGCTCGGACTGGCGACACAGGGCGGGACGCAGGCTCACGACGCTCAGCAAGACCTCCAGTAGGACCAGCGTAGGGAGAAGGAGAAGGCAGAGGAGAGGCGGGCTGTAACTGTGACCGTGACGGGACAGGCTGCGGACACTCTACGGGAGGAGAAGGACCAGTGGAAGGCGGGAGACCAAGAACATGCTGAAGGAGCGGAACGAAGTACGGCCGAGGCCGCGCAGCACCGCCAGAGACAGCAGGGACAGGACCAACACCTCCAGAGGCAGCACCAGCACCAGTAGCAGCTCCAACTCCAGCACCACCAGCAGCTGCAGAAGTACCCGCAGTAGGACCGACAGTCGTAGCCTCAGCGCCAGCACCTGCAGCAGCTCCAGCTCCAGAGGCACCCCCGGGCCCGGCAGCTCCAGTACCCTCAGTACGAGCACCTCCGGGACCCGTGGTACCAGCTCCCTCGGCAGCAACGGAACCTCCAGCACCCGCAGTACCCCCAGCTCCAGCAGCTCGCCTCCAGCGCCGGGCAAACCACTCACGCAGCTCCAGAGGAGAGAGCGGCTCGCGGCGCGAAGAACGGTCTGGAGAACCACCAGGAACAGAAGCAGCAGGCGCAGCACTCCCAGACGCAGAACCCCCAGGCTCAGCACCCCCAGGCACAGCACCCCCAGGCTCAGCACCCCCAGGCTCAGCACCCCCAGTCTCAGCACCTCAGTACCCCTAGGCTCAGCACCCCCAGGCTCAGCACCCCCAGTCTCAGCACCCCCAGGCTCAGTACCCCCAGGCTCAGCACCCCTAGTCTCAGCACCCCCAGTCTCAGCACCCCCAGGCTCAGCACCCCCAGTCTCAGCACCCCCAGTCTCAGCACCCCGAGGCTCCGCACCCGCAGCAGCACCAGAGTCACCAGTGACCTCGACAGGCTCGTCCGCGTCTACCTGAGACACACCTGAAGGGGCAGGACCCTGAGGGGGGAGGGGGTCTACCGGGGGGGGACCTGGGACCAGGAAGAGGGGCGGGGGGGGGAGGGACGGAGTGCGGTAGGGGAAGAGCCGGTAGAAGGGAACCGACTCGTCGAACGTGACGTCCTGGGAGGACAGAACACGACGAGAGGTGGGGTGGTAAAACTGCCACCCAGGTGCGTCAGGGGGGAAACCCAGGAAGACGCAAGGAGCAGCACGAGGGGACAGCTTGTCCGCAGACAAGTCGCGGACAAACGCCCGAGATCCCCAGACACGGAACGCCGACGCATCGCCAACCTTCCCCGTCCACAGCAAAGCTGAGGAGGTCTCCGGTCTGGAGACCCTGGGCTGAAGGTTGATCTGATGTGCGGCGTACCGAACCGCAAACGGCCACAGAAAATGGGGGGCAGCCGCATGCACCATGGACGTACGGGCGACGTCCATGACAATGCCGATGCGGCGCTCAGCAATCCCATTCTGCTGTGGAGAGTCCGGAAGCGTGAAGTTCTGGCGGATGCCTCGTGCCCGACAGTAGGCTCGCAGAAGGCCGGAGGAGAACTCTCCGCCTCTGTCCGAGTGCAGACGCAAAACAGGAAAGTCCGAGCCGAAGCTCCGCCTGAGCTGGAGACGAGCTGCGCAGATCCAGTCGATCAACACCTCAATGACCTCACCCTTGTTGCGCAAGGGGAAGACTGTGGTGTAACGCGAGTAGTCGTCAACCACCAGCAGGAAGTAGCGCTCGTGACCCTGTCCACGGACGCGGGCTGGGCCCCACACGTCCATGTGAAGCGTCTGCATCGGGGCCTCCGTCGGAGGAAACGGGGAGGAGTGAGGGGTAGCCCGCAGGCGACCCTCGACACAGGGGACACAGGAAGGGCCAGGCCCCGGAGGAAGGGGAGGGAGGGACCGGGGAAGGCCAGAGACAAGAAGGCGAGAGGCCATGCCCCGGAGACGAGGCAGGGAGGGGTGACCCATCCTGTGGTGCCACAGGAGGGTCTCGTGGGACAGGAGGCGACACGAGCAGGGGGCAAACTCAGAACCAGACCTGGACGCCGCAGCAAACACCTGACCCGACGCAGCTACCTGACCAGACGCAGGAGGAGGAGACGGAACAGTGAGTGTGTACAGGCTCGACCCCGGCCCACGTGTGAACGTGGTCAAGTGTCGACCCGTGTCCGCGTCCGTGCAGTGGGTGTCCCGTCGGCGTGCAGGGGTGAACTGGTCGACCCCTGCATCCTGTAGGTCAGCACCCGCCACCAAGTTCGTAGAGAACGAGGGGAGGTAGAGACCGGACAGGGCGCCAGACGGAACCGCAGGGCACGGCAGGACAGTGGAGTAGCGAGCCAGAACAGGACCCCCAGAGGGGTCCGCCAGGGAGACCGCCACTGGCCGACTAAGCGGCGTGAGTGTGGTGCGGTCTCAAAAGAAGGAGCGAGACGCCCCTGAGTCAAGAGTGAAGGTGAGAGAGGGCGGAGCCGACGTAGTACCTGAGAGAGCAGACTCACCAGCACCTGAGGACACAGACTCACTGGCACCTAGAGCGACAGCCTCACCAGCACCTGGAGCAGCAGCCTCAACAGCACCTAGAGTCGCAGTACTAATGCCCGGGTCGGGCGGGAAACACCGGTAACAGTCACCCTCCTCACTAATAGTCACAGCATACATGGCAGCAAGAATAGCATCAAAGTCAAGATCAAAGATAGCTACTCCTGCCCTAGACAGCTGGTCCCAGCGAGGGATCTCAGAGGCGTCAGGAAACTGGCGGCGCCAAGCGTCAGTCAGGCGGCCGAAGCAGCGCTGGGCGGGGTGTGGACCACCACACGGCTCACCCGCACGGTCGCCCGTGCGCAAGACGTAGGTGCACGGACCAGTACCCCCACCCCTCTGACGTGCAGCGTACCACTCACGGAGCTGCTGCGGGGAGAGGGTCTCCTGACCACGCTGCTGCCGCTGCTGTTGGCGCTGACCGCCACCGGAGCCACTCCTCTGCGAAGAGCCATGACCTCCTCCGCCGCCTCCTCCGCCGCCGCCGCCACCACCTCCGCTGCCAGCGCCACTCCCACCGTCGCTGCCGCCACCGCCGCCTCCGCCTCCACTCCCACCACCACCGCCGCTGCCACCCCCGCCTCCACTGCCGCCGCTGACACCTCCACTCCCGACACCACTCCCGCTACCACCCCCACCTCCTCCGCTGCCTCCACAGCCGCTCCCACCGCCCCCGCCGCCTCCACCACTGCTCCTGCCCCCTTTGCCCTTGCCAGAGCGACGTCTCCCATTGGGGGCAGACGCCGCACCGACCGACTCAAAACCAACTAGGTCGGCCGTAGCAGCAGAGGCGACAGAGGGCAGGAGGGGGGAGGGGGAACACCCCTCAAAGATGGGGGTGCGCGGGTCAGCACGAGAGGCCCCTACAGCGAGAATGCTCTTCTCGGCTGCTAGGAGGGACTTCTCGAGGAGGTTAACAGTGAGAGTGGTGGGGCAGACTGAGAGTAAGTCATCCCTGACTCCGCGGAGGGAGTCAGGGAGGCGGGTGACAATGTAGTAGAGAGTGAAGTACTGGGGGGGGGGGGGGTTCTTGGCGCAGAACTCAGCAGGAAGCGCAGCGCGGAAGCGAGCGTCACTAGTGCGCAGGTGGGTAATGAGGTCGGCGACTGTGGCAAAAGAAGCAAGGTCGGGAAAGAGGTACGGTAGCATGAGGCGGCTCAGTGCAGCAGTGGCAGGGGTGGAGTAGCGTGCAATAACGGCGTCGTACAAGGTCTGAGCACTCTTGTACGACCCAAAGTGTGCACGCTCAGAGGGAGGGAGGTGGCGACGCACAGCAAGACGTGCAGCAGCATCGCGTGTGGCCCACTGTGAGCGAATAGTGGCATCCTCAGTAGCAGCAGGGGCGGGAGAGGCACCAGAAGTGAGATCAAAGAGAGAGAGGCCGTCAGCTCTGTCGCACTGTAGGAAAAGCAGCAGGTCGTCTACCCACACGTCAAAGTCGATGGCTCTGCCCTCGGCGTCGAAGGTGAGGACACTGGGGGTAGCCATGACAGCAGTGGGGTAAGGGCAGTGCGCAGAGTAAAGCTCAGTGCTCACCAGACAGGGCAGTGCAGGCGGCTCGGGCGGCTCGGGCGGCTCGGGCGGCTCGGGCGGCTCGGGTGGCTCGGCGGGTCGGCTGCTGGGCGGCTCGGGCGGCTCGGGCGGCTCAGCTGCTGGGGCGGCTCGGCTGCTGGGGCGGCTCAGCTGCTGGGGCGGCTCAGTTGCTGGGGCGGCTCGGCTGCTGGGGCGGCTCGGCTGCTGGGGCGGCGCAGTTGCTGGGGCGGCGGGGCCGGGAGATGCAGCTGCGGGGCCGGTAGGGGTAGTGGCGGGGCCGGTAGGTGAAGCGGCGGGGCCGTCAGGTACAGCAGCGGGGCCGGCAGGTGAGACGGCGGGGCCTGCAGATGCAGCAGCGGGGCCGTCAGGGGTAGCGGCGGGGCCGGTAGGTGCAGTGGCGGGGCCGTTAGGTGCAGCGGCGGGGCCGTCAGAGGGGACGGCGGGGCCGTCAGGTGCAGCGGCGGGGCCGGCAGAGGGGACAGCGGGGCCGTCGGGTGCAGCGGCGGGGCCGGCAGAGGGGACGGCGGGGCCGTCAAGCGCAGCGGCGGGGCCGGCAGAGGGGACGGCGGGGCCGTCAAGCGCAGCGGAGGGGCCGGTAGAGGGGACGGCGGGGCCGTCGCAGGCGATCGCGGGGCCGTCAGAGACGGCGCCGGCGTTGCGAGGGTCAGAGGGGGGCGGCGCGCGACTGGAGGGCGGCACGCGCGACGCGGCGCGGCCGTCTAGGGGCGGCGCGACGAGGCCGCGTAGGTGGCGCGTCAAAAATTCGCGGGCGGCTCGACGCGATCCGGCCGCCAAAGGAAAAAAAAGGCCCAGCGCGACTCGGGCTAGGGCAGAGCGCGCTCCGGGCAGGACGGAATAGTAGGTGGGCCCTAGGAACAGTTCCCACTAGGGAACCTGCTCGATACCATGTTGAGATAGAGGCGAGGAATGAGTGCACTATGAAATGAAACAAGTACAAGTACCAACCCTATTTGGGTTGTACCCCCTATGGGCTACCCCACTACAGCCTAAATATATGCATCAGTAATATAATCATCTGACATCCATCAGCCGACAACCGAAGTCGGCTTCCCCAAGTTGACGTCACCAATTGACGTCCTCCGCAAGTCGACTCCTAAGTCGACCTCCCCGAAGTTGGCGCCACCCTGAAGTCGGCGCCCGTGCAGTGGTCCCCGTGCAGGTTGACCTCCTCGTCAAAGAGCTCGCCCACTACTGCAGGTCGGCTGCTCCCCTAACACCCGACCACGATGTCGCCTCCGCCCAAGCGAGGACGGGGCCAACACACAACTCCCGTTGACAGTTCCCTGCGTCTTCCTTGGCTTCCCCCCTGACGCGCCTGGTTGGCAGTTTTACCACCCCACCTCGCGCCGTGTTCTGTCCTCCCAGGACGTCACGTTTGACGAGTCGGTTCCTTACTACCGTCTCTTCCACTACCGCACTGCACCCCTCCCCCCGCCGCCGCTCTTCCTTGCGCCTGTTTCCCCCCCGGTAGACCCCCTCCCCCCTCAGGGTCGTGCCCTGTCAGGTGTGTCCCAGGTAGACGCAATCGAGCCTGTCGAGGTAGCTGTTGACTCTGGTACTGCTAGGGGTGCTGAGCCTGGGGGTGCTGAGTCTGGGGGTGCTGAGCCTGAGGGTGCTGAGTCTGGGGGTGCTGGGCTTGGGGGTGCGGAGCCTGGGGGTACGGAGCCTTAGGGTGCGGAGCCTGGGGGTACGGAGCCTGGGGGTGCTGAGCCTTGGGGTGCGGAGCCTGGGGGTGCTGGGTCTGCTCGTGTGGCCTCTAACGGTGCTGGGTTTGGGGCCCCTTCGGGTCCTCGTTGAGGCGGGAGCTACCCTCTCCGCAGGAGCTGCGCGAGTGGTTTGCTCGGCGCTGGAGCCGTTCTGCTAGAGCTGGAGGTGCTGTTGTTACTGCTGACCCTGGGGTCGGCACAGGAGTTACTGGAGCCACTGGTCCTGGAGGTGCTCATACTGGCGGTACTGGGGCTGCTGGGCCTGGGGGTGCTGCTGAGAGTGCTAGAGCTGACGGTCTTGCTGGAGCTGGCGCTGCTGGAGGTCTTGGTGCTGGAGGTGCTGCTGGAGCTGGTCCTTCTGGGGGTGCTGGAGTTGGCGCAGATGGAGCTACTGCGGGTGCTGCTGGAGCTGGTGGTGCGACTGGCCCAGGTAATGCCGCTGGGGGTACTAGTGCTGTCCCTGCTGGTTCTGGAGGCACTACGCGGCCGCGGCCGTACTTCGTTCTGCTCCTTGAGCAGGTTCTTGGTCTCCCGCCCTCTACTGGTCCTGCTCCTCCCTTAGAGTGTCCACAGCCTGTCCAGCCGCGGTCACAGTTACAGCCCGCCCCCCCCCTACCTGCTCCTTCTCCCTACACTGGTCTTACTGGAGGTCTTGCTGAGCGTCGTGAGCCTGCGTCTCATCCTGCGTCGCTTGTTCGTGCTGCTTGCACTAGTAGTCGTGCTCCGCGTCCGCGTCCTCCTGCGGTCCCACGCACACACCAGATGGCACTGCGTCCTTCCACTGCTCCTCTGCGTGTCCCGTTCCCATCTCCTCCAGAGTCCTCTCTTCCTGTCCTTGCTGACCCGGAGTCAGACCCTATTCGTGCTGCCAGTCCTACTGTCACGCGTCTCCTGGCTACTGTTGTCACTGACCCTTCCTTTGAGTCCACAGCTGCGTCTGCCTTGGTTGCTGAGCTTGTTGACTTTGCTGCTCGCTTTCGCCTAGACTACGCTGCTAGTTTTGTTGCTGAGTCTGAGTCTGTCTGTCCTCCGTCCGTCAGGGGTGAGTGTGATCTTAGCATGGACGTCCTTGAGGACAGGCAGGAGGAGTTCCAGTGTTTTGCTGCTGCTTTGCCTCATCTCGTGTCCACGCTGATTGCCCCTGAGGGAGACCCGGATGCACCAGACATCTCGGCTCCTCGATCGTACGCTGAGGCGATCAAGGGTCCCTACTCCTCACAGTGGCAGTCAGCCATGGACGTAGAGATGGCTTCCTGGAAGTCCACAGGCACCTACGTTGACGAGGTTCCCCCACCTGGGGCGAACATCGTTAGTGGCATGTGGATTTTCAGGGTGAAGCGGCCGCCGGGTTCTCCGCCTGTCTTCAAGGCGCGTTACGTGGCTCGAGGCTTCAGTCAGCGGCAGGGAGTTGACTACTTTCAGACCTTCTCTCCCACCCCGAAGATGACCACTCTTTGGGTGCTGCTGCACATAGCCGCTCAGCGCGACTACGAGCTTCACTCTCTTGACTTCAGCACTGCTTTCTTGCAGGGCAGCCTGCACGAGGAGATCTGGCTGCGCCGCCCACCTGGCTTCACTGGGTCGTTTCCCCCTAGTACCCAGTGCAGCCTCCGGCGGCCAGTCTACGGTCTCCGCCAGGCGCCACGTGAGTGGCACGACACACTGAGGACTACACTTGCGGCTCTTAGGTTTGCTGCTTCTACTGCCGACCCGTCGTTGTTTCTGCGCACCGACACCTCTTTGGCGCCGTTCTACATCCTCCTGTACGTCGACGACTTGGTCTTTGCCATTGCTATCACTGCTGGACTCGCCCACGTGAAGTCTGAGCTGCAGAAGAGACACACGTGCACAGACCTGGGTGAACTGCGCAGCTACCTTGGCTGGCAGATCACCCGGGACAGAGCACAGGGCACCATTACCCTGACTCAGTCACACATGGTGGAGCAGGTCCTTCAACGCTTCGACTTCACGTACTCCTCGCCTCAGGCCACTCCTCTGTCTACTCGCCACTTGCTCTCAGCTCTGCCTTCGGATGAGTTCGTAGAGCCGAGTGGCCCGTACCTAGAGCTTGTTGGCTGCCTCATTTACCTGATGACCTGCACACGACCTGACCTGGCATACCCTCTTAGCATCTTGGCACGCTATGTTGCTCCTGGGAGACACCGACCAGAGCACATGGCTGCAGCGAAGAGGGTGTTGCGCTACTTGTGCAGTACGTCAGGCATGGGGCTAGTGCTTGGAGGACGACGTTCAGTGGTCCTCAAAGGTCACGCAGACGCTTCTTGGGCTGACGACCAGGCTACACAGCGGTCGTCACAGGGTTACACCTTCAGCCTTGGTTCCGGCTCTGTTTCGTGGCTGTCTACCCGCTCGTCTTCTGTTCTTGGCTCCAGTTGTGAGGCTGAGATCTACGCGGGGGCCATGGCTGCACAGGAGCTACGCTGGCTCACCTACCTGCTGACTGACCTAGGAGAGCCGCCTCGTTCTCCTCCAGTCCTGTACGTAGACAACAAGGCCATGCTGGCCTTGTGTTGGGAGCACAGACTGGAGCACAGAACGAAGCACATTGCTCTTCGCTACTTCCTTGCTCGTGAGCTGCAGCAGCGTGGTCAGCTGCGCCTTGCTTACGTGGCCTCTGAGGCCAACACTGCCATCACAAGGCACTGCCGCCTGGTGATCATCAGCGCTTCTGCACGATGCTAGGTCTTGTGCCTACTTGGCCTCACTTGCTCACTTCTTGACCTTGCTTGTACTGTGATCTTTCTATACCTGCACTTGCTTGTTTAATTTTATATATGATCTTGCATGTGAGCTGGCCTTGTGGCCTTGAACTTGTGCTCGGAATGTGTGGTGACGTTGTGATCCACCCTGAGCTTGCTTTGCTTTGCTTGACTGGTCTTGTGACCTCTTGTTCTCCCCCACTTTGCCTATGGGGGTGTGTCAAACTCATATGCTATAGTTTGTGTAGGCTGTAGTGGGGTAAACAATATGGGGTACAACACTTTTAGGTTTTCCTACTTGTACCCACCTGCTTGCTAGTTCATTCATTCCTCATTTCTTCGCAGCAGTATCGAGAACAAATGTGAAGAGTCAGAGTTGACTCGAAACGTCAGACGGTTGGGATGCATCTGGATCGACGGAAGCAGATGGCATTGGCAGCAGCAGGCAGGAGGGTTCTGGCGGGAACAGTTTCGTAACTGTACGTGCCGCACGGTTGGGAATGAATTTGAATAAGGGAATGTACCCCTTAGAGTACATGGCTAGCTAGGTCGATTCATCTTCCATGTACTCTTATTTATATTTGCTGTATTTGCATGTTTTATTCACCTCAAGCATTTACATTCACTCTGCTATTGAGGTCAAGGGCCCACCACCACTACTAGACTAGAAGTGTGCGAACCCTCCTGAGGTGATCCTGGTTACGATCAACTTCTGATCGCAACAGCGCTTCTCACGCTTAGGTCGTACGCTGACATAGCCATTGTTTCTTTTCCGGCGCGTGATACACGGAGCATTTTGCATTTAAAGTGTGAATGTGAAATGGCGGCGCCTTAGCCATTCCCTTTTCTGCGGCCCGATTACCCTTCGCCGATGCTAGCTTCCCCTTTCCCTCCGCCTAGGCCCCCTTCCCGCAGCCCGGTTTCCCCCTCCCGCTGACACGAAACCCCAGTCACGCTCTTCGATTCGGAATTTACGCCACTCGACTCCAGTGACACGCCACCCGATTCCCTCCCTTCCCTCCTGTCCATGGCAACCGCAATAATGTTTTTGCACACGTTTAATGTAAGTATTTCTTCTCGGTACGAGTGCTTTCAGCCTAAAAACAAAAAAGGATTCACACATATGCAGGAAGTGTAGTGGGCGCTCTTCGTTCGCGAGCGCCGATGACCGATGATGCTCGCCATCCTCCCATGCCTTTGCTGGCTTGGTAATAGGCCCAGACAAGCGCAGCCACGTGACCCAGTGGAAGAAAAACGCTCCGAACGAGCGCATCCACCCCCAAAACAAGGGAGGATCCACACATGTACAGGAAGTGCAGCGTGCGCTCTTCATTCGTGACGCCGATGACTGATAATGCTCGCAACCATCCCACGCCCTTGCTGGCTTGGTAATAGGCCTAGACAAGCGAAGTTACGTGACCCGGCGGAAGAAAAATGCTCGGAACAATCGCTTCCAGCCCCAAAACACAGAAGGATCCGCACATGTGTAAGAAGTGCAGCGGGCGCTCTTCATTCGCGAGCGCCGATGACCGATGATGCTCGCAACCCTCCCACGCCCTTGCTGGCTTGGTAATAGTCTCAGAAAAGCGCAGCCTTGTGATTTGGCGGAAGAAAAACACTCGTAACGAGCGCTTCCAGCCCCAAAAACGCAGTAGGATCCGCACATGTGCAGGAAGTGCAGCGGGTGCTCTTGAGTCGCGAGCACCGATGACCGATGATGCTCGCAACCCTCCCACTCCCCTGCTGGCTTGGTAATAGGCCCAGACAAGTGCAGCCACGTGACTCGGCGGAAGAAAAACGCTTGGAACAAGCGCTTCCAACCCCAAAAAGCAGAAGGATCCGCACATGTTCAGGAAATGCAGCAGGCGCTCTTCATTCGCGAGCGCCGATGACCGATGATGCTCGCAACCCTCCCACTGTCAGAATATTATTCTTATGTTCTAGCCTGTAGTGGGGTGCTCTATAGCGAGTACAACCCTTCTAGGGTTTGCTATTTGTATCCCCATTTCTGCTAGTTCATTCCTCTTTCTTCTTCTAATTTTGTCATGCTATCAGAGCAGGTCGATCCCCTTGGATCGATCCTGTGGGTGGGTTACCACCTCGCTTCCGCTGCTACTTTTTCCTCCCGCCGTGCGCCCCGAGGCGCGCGGCGGTTTTCTGCCCGCCGTGCGCCCCGAGGCGCGCGGCGGTTCATTGCCCGCTGTGCGCCCCGAGGCGCGCGGCGGGCTTCTCCCCTACGTCGCGGCTCCGCCCCGATCGTCGCGGCCCCGCCCCTCGACGCGGCCCCGCTCTACGTCGCGGCCCCGCCCCGGCCCGTCGCCGCCCATGCGCCTGCCCGGCTCGGCCCCGCCCTTCGTCGCGGCCCCGCCCCGGCCCGTCGCCGCCCGTGCGCCTGCCCGGCTCGGCCCCGCCCTACCTTTGCGGCCCCGCCCAACGTTGCGGCCCCGCCCTACGTCGCGGCCCCGCCCTACGTCGCGGCCCCGCCCTATGTCGCGGCCCCGCCTCGACCGTCGCGGC